GCTCGAGACAAAGTGCGAGGAGAAGGGAGGTGGGGAGGGCGAGTTGAAGGAGGGAAGACAGGCAAGAGCGCCGGTAGCGAGAGCACGGGAGTTGAGTGCGAAGCTGGTAATAAGGAGTGCTCGAGACAAAGTGCGAGGAGAAGGGAGGTGGGGAGGGCGAGTTGAAGGAGGGAAGACAGGCAAGAGCGCCGGTAGCGGGAGCACGGGAGTTGAGTGCGAAGCTGGTAATAAGGAGTGCTCGAGACAGAGTGCGACGAGAAGGGAGGTGGGGAGGGCGAGTTGAAGGAGGGAAGACAGGCAAGAGCGCCGGTAGCGGGAGCACGGGAGTTGAGTGCAAAGCTGGTAATAAGGAGTGCTTGAGACAGAGTGCGAGGAGAAGGGAGGTGGGGAGGGCGAGTTGAAGGAGGGAAGACAGGCAAGAGCGCCGGTAAAGATTAGGGTGCCGCCAATAAAACACCTTTTATTAAGGCCCTTATTTACGGGACAACCCGGACCTTATTTACGGTTATTTGCGATACAAGTACTATTTTTCCGTAAATAGAGAGGCATGGTCATCCATCAAGTTTTGAATATGATCATCAAAAGTCGCCGTGAATGAGTGACTAAGCCAAACTTGTCATCTGCACTACATGGATTCATCTCAGCTCATGAAATTGTCAACACAAATTCAACGATGCAATTGTTGAAGGATGATGTATCATCGTGTCTTCAAAACTGAATGTTGCAATCAAGTTAGTTAATTATCATCCGATCATCAACAATGATGTAACATCTTGCTATTCGTACGACTTTCCTTGTCCTTGTATGAGTCGACTCTTGGATTAAAAAGAGTAGTTGATTGTTAATTTGCATTCGGAGGACAATACATTTGTTGTCAGGTTGAACTTTGTTTGAAATATCATACATCTAGCAAACTTTGTCATGATCCAGAATGGCATTTGAAAAAAAAATATATGCTTCAAGTTTTTAAGCCGTGATGTTGAGCTTCCGTGGTATTTTCAAGACCTAGCACTGTGAGCTATTGTCACACGAGAAGCTGCAATCCAACGTGTTGGCCTTGACCGCATGCTCAATCCGCGTTCTCCTACAACAACAAAGCTATGTCTTCTTCACATACGGTTCTCAACTCTCAAACTCTGAATCTGCATTTGAAGTTTGCAAGACAACAGCCATCATTTTGATACCAATTTTTGTTTGATAATCAATAAATTCACAAGAAAAAAACCAACGACATACATGATACATGTTTTCATCTTCTGACTACGTCCACAAAAATACAAACATAAGATGTCTAGCGCGACAAGGAAATTAACCTGCCTAAGTAGTGTAGAAGATGCATTGACAACTTGGCCAAAACCCTAATATGAGTGAACTGATACATTGAATACTCCGTCACCTGCAGTGCATAATCTACGCACTGTCCCGACTTGAATTATCGCAAACAATACATGGTAACTTATAATTTAAAATAAATACTTAGAAAAATGCAAATTTGAAAAAAGGAATAATCATTCATTGATTAAAAATAATGTAAGAAATAAAAAATATGTAAGATTATAAATTTTTTTAAAAGACTAACAATTAATTTTCAATAAATACAAAAGATCAATAAGTTTAGGTTGATTGCTTACAATATCACATAATTTAAAATTATCTATTATAAGGTCTGTTGACCAATTCTCTACTATCTTTACTTTTTTGGTATATAATTCAATAAATTTATTACTTTTGTATTTTTAATCAAAGAAATAAGATCATAGTTTGTTCATGATATATTTTAATAAAAAAAAAATGTCGGTTTATAAATCAAGAATACATGATATGCAAGTTGTTAATATTTTGGTGTGAATTAAAATTAGCATCTAGAAAATTGAAAAAGTGATATTGTAAGATCATAAATATAATTTTTAAACGGAATTTGAAACTCAAATATACGTGAAAAATTGAAGAAAAAAATCTGGATTTATATTTCATATGAATGAAATCTTATTGCAGATAAAAACATACATAATGTCAAGATTTTTAAGTTTTTATAAATTTTGAATCTAATATGAAATATCTTAGAGCAAAAAAAAAGGTTTAAGGTACAAATTTTCAAATAAAACTTGAAGCATAAAAAAGTATCATTGAAACAAGTTGAGTATGCTAAAATGATAATTGAAGGATACAACATATAAATCCTGATAGATCTTCAATCTGATAGATTATGGGAAGAAAATATTGATGTGTAAAATTCTCTATGAGAAGACAAAAAAAATCTCAGGTTTTTGATGATGTGCATTAGATAGAGTATGATTAGTTGTTATGAACAACTAATCATACACATCAAGAGTAGATTCATTAAAAAATTATGAAATGAATTTTCAAATAAATTGTGTTGATAAACAAATGATTGAGCTAATCAAGATAGATATTATAGTAATTTTCACAAATCAATTTATCATAATAATTCATGTACAAAATTTTTGCAAAACATAATGCCACTTTGCAAGTTTTGCATATGTATATAAATATAAAAAACTAGAAATTAAATTATTTGTATACCTAACATTACTTTATCATGCTTTGAATACAGTTATTATTGTCAACTCTGGTTTATAGCATAACTTATATTAGCTTTTTTTGGTAGAAAAATCGTAAAAATTATTTAATTTTAAAATCTCAATACAGAAAGAAGTGATACATTGATAGGAGTTAATTGAGTTTTTCAATAATTTTAGTTAGTTTTAAATTAGATAATTAAACTAGTTAGCTATTGTTTTGTAAGATATGAGTATAATCTTTTGATGACAAAAATTTGGAGTTTTATAAATGATTTCGTGTTAATTAGTGTGACTGATAGGAGCTCATTGAGTTCTTATTTAATTTTAGTTACTTTTAAATTAGATAATTGGAATCAGTTAGCTATCGTTTTGTAAGAGACTAGTATTATCTTTCAATGACACAAATTTGGGTTTTTATAAATGATTTTGTGTTAATTAGTGTGCTTGATAGTAGTTCATTAGTGATGTGTTGATTTCTTGAGAAGTCTTATCATTGGCAGTGTTGATTTATTCCTACATAGTATAAATTTAATTATACTGTAGAAATCAAGTTTATTCATATATTGAAATTTGAATTTTTAACAAATATGGTTAGTTTTTAAATACAGTCGTTTATTTTTTGAATTTATATATTAGCATAAATTTTTAGCAAATACAAAACACATACACTTATACAAAAACAAACCAGTACTACTTAGTTCATTCATTAATTTATTTTTTAATTAAAATGCAGAAAATCAAGAAAACTTGTAGATTATCATGAGTTTTATCGATCATATATTTTAATCAGGATTAGATATTATTAAATTGATATTATTAAAATCACCTTTGTAAAACGCTTATGAAGTCTCAATATACAATTAAGGGAAATATTTATAAAACAAAAGAAACATATATATATATATATAGAAAATTTTTAAGAAAATTTTTGGAAGTTGTTATAAGTGTTAGATTTGAAAAATCTAAATTTTACTCGTCTTCGATCCTTTTTCAAAACGTTATTTCTAGGCACAGTTTTATGAATTAGATCCCTTTATTCGTTAAAAACTCTCTAAGATATTGTTCTAGGTTAGGATTCAAATTATAATTATTGATTGTTAATATGCTAACCTTATTTTCGACATTTCAATTTAACTCTGACATCAATTCATGCAATTTAATCATGTTGTGATTATCCTAAAATAATGGAAGTTTTGTTGGTGGAGAGCAATTTATGTATCAAAACATCCATCCCACACCAAAACTATCAATTCTAGATCTCATACCTTGACTATGAACATCCAGATTGTGCGAGAAACGGAGGTTCACTTTCATATTTGAAGATTAGTCGCTCATACTTACAGTTTTAATTACCTGTTTTTATGAATTGCAGAGAACTGACTTCAACTCTGTTATGAAATAATTTAATGTCATTTTATGAACAGTACAGAAATATCTTCCAAAAGATCTTCCCAGTCCATAAATGTTTGTTTCATCTGCATTTCTGTTGAGCAGATGTCAAAGGACATATTTCTTGAGTTTCAAAGGACATATTTCTTCACTGAAGTTGGAATACTTGAATCAAATTTCACATGCTGTACCAACGTGGGCATAAGGAGGAGAAAAACTTTGTTTCTTTCTTGACGTGGTCCAGCAGTGAAAATCCGTAAACTTAGATTGATTAGTTCACATTGTGTACTTGGACGGAGGTACTTAAGTCAAATTCTTTCTTAGATCTTTCTTCTAGTAGGCGTCAACTACAAGAAAGCTGGAGCGATATGAACTCTGGGATAGCAAGACTTCTTCCAGTCCTAACCAGTATAGGGAACAAGAAAATGAAGGCAGGAATAATATACTTCCAAGCCAAGGGCAGGCTTAACATTCGTGAAAGCATGATAATCACAAAAACACTTCAGAGACGTGTAGAGAAGAATAAACTGGCTCTATGGAGCAACTGATAAGGTATTTGGTTCTATCCTCTCAAAGATCTTGCAGGAAGCAGAAGATCACATTAATCCAGTTGATTGTTCTGGCCAAGTTTCAGCTGGAAAAGCAGGCGGTTGCTCAATCTACTTTTGGATCAAAACTTTTGTTTGGTTCCTGAAATAAACGCTACGTCCATATTTTATGTTTTTTGTATTTATGAGAAACAATCCGCGCAGAACATAAAGGATCGAAGAATACTGATACAGAGTTCGTCTCCTATACTATCCTATCATTAATTCATGGTACATTCAGGATCAGTCTAAATACGGCTTCAATTTGTAGCGTTATGGTGGTAGAATGAGCAGCGAAATGGGGAAAATGACATTTTGATGCCAGTGTAGCATCAAAGCGACCAGCTGCAAGGACGACATCACAACGGCTGTTGATAACAGAAGAAGCTGAGGAGCTGTTTGCATTCTACTGTGTACTAATCTCAATTTCTGATCTTCTCATTTCATTATTTTGTAAGATATAAAAGAATAAACATTATTATTTGTTATTATAAAACACCAGATTCACTGCAAAACCTCCTACATGTATTTCCTCTGTCATGATAACTCTGGGCAACACTCCCTAACTCATCCTGAAAACCCAAATAAACTACCGCTAAAGGATCATAAACTTACTGTTGTATGAAAGCTGACTCCGCAAGATCGATAGCTCGGGACAAGCCCGCAGCCTTGTTAATACACTCTCTGTGTTCGGAATCAGGGTTACTATCGGCCACGATTCCTGCTCCAGCTTGTAAATACACCTGCCACTCTCGCCTATTTTTTGTCCCTGCGGTTGTACTGTGAGAGTACAGCGTGTTGTATCGATCGAAAGTGGGAAAAATCATAGTTCTGAGGGCCAAAGCAATGTCCATGTCTCCATTAAATGAAACATGCCCGATACCCCCACTGTACGGACCACGTCGGGTGGGCTCCAGCTCATCAATCAACTCCATTGCTCTGACCTGTGATTGACATGGTCAATAGCAAACCTTCGTAACGTTGAAATTTAGAAAAAAATCTAGTGCTGCTCTACTTCGTGCGGTGCCATTCGTGAAATACTGTCCTCTTCAGACAGATAATCCAACAATGTTGCAGTTGGTATTCTTGGGGGTTGGATAATAAGCTAGTCTTACCTTAGGAGCTCCACTCACAGTCCCAACTGGCAGTGCAGCACGTAGAGCATCCCAGCTTTTCATATCATCGAGAAGTTCACCAGTTACCTGACGCATCATGCAGATTAAAGTTATGAATAGCGGCAGGTATGACGTTACATTACAGAACCTTGATGGCAGTAAAATCAGTGGAGCAGTTGGAAGTAGACCACCATAAACGAGTAAATATGCTTTTGAAGACAACTGATTTCCCTACGTGCACTGTCGAACTACGATCGTTCTTTCACATTCGAGAGCATATGTAAGCCCCATTAGTGGTTTACATATGTGAGCTAAACGAGTGAACGCGCTGAGATATCCATAAAAGTATGATTCGGTTAAAAAGGACTCACCGTGGAGCTAAGATGCATAACATGAGAATAACGCTCCACGTCCATAAGCCGATCCACTTTAACTGATCCAGGCTTAGAAACCTTGTGAATTAAAGATGACAAACACGTTCAGATTGGTGAATTTCGAGTAGAACTCCGGTAGATAATATGGATGCTGTAAGGGATTCTCCACGTGACAAAGCTACTGTTGTTCAAAATGCATATATCAATCCGACTATTATATTCGAGATTGTAGCACATATAGTCGTCCATACTTCTTCTATACCTAGAGAAATTGTAGAATTTTCATCATACAGCATACAGCATACCTTCCCCACGTCATTTCGACCTAAATCTACCAACATCACGTGTTCTGCCACCTCTTTCTTATCTTGTCGTAAATCTGCCTCTAATTGCAAATCCTCCTCCACTGTCTTCCCTCTTCTCCTGGTCCCAGCCAAAGGTCTGTTGACGACCTTTCCCTGCGAAATACAGGTAATGCTTCATGCATATCTCAAGATACATATGATCTGGTAAAAAACGAAGAACCGAAAAATGGACTGGGACACTTACCTTCTGTATTCTGGTTAGAATTTCCGGACTGGCACCCACCATTATAGATCCACGAGCCTAAAAAAAAGGTAAAAATACAGTTTAATGTTTCATAGATTATAAGACTATAATATCAAACCAGCTCCTTCCAAGAAGGAAATTAATGGCTATATCTGCTGGAATGCTAGCTAAAAAAATGGGAATTTAACCACATTAGCACATGACATACATTTGGATTATATGACAACCAACATATACAATCATACTTGATGATGAGACAGCTTGGCATCTCCTCAAAATGGTGAAATGAATAATTGGAAGTAAAATAGCTGAAAAGAATAGGAAGTTAATCATAATTGGAAGATGCTTAAACTGAAATAGAAGACAACGGAAAGCAATAACACCTGTAAGTAAATCATGTATGGGCTAGGATTGACAATTCGAAGAGCACGGTACACTTCGAAAGGATCGGCGAATGTGCGTCGCTCAAATCTCTGACTCAAAACTATTTGAAAAATATCACCAGCCAAAATGTGTTCCTTTGCTTTCACAATGTTAGCTTTATATTCCTCCTCAGTCAAATTTGAAACTTGTTTGTTGTCCCAATAGTGACCAATCTTAATGCCCACGGCGCCGGTCGACAGTTTTTGCCTGTAGAAAAAAAAACACGGATATCAAAGGATGCAGACAAAAGAATAAAACCTAACCTCCCACGCTATTTGTCAAAGATGCTTGTAGACCTTCTGTCCCACAAAATACAATCTTCTGTCTAATTTCAACATTGCAAATATGAAAAGCGTCCCAACATTGCAGGAGGATAAAGTACGTACCTTTGGCCATTCTGTAGACGATTTACTAAGCGGGCAAGCTGTGCTTTACCATTTTCATATGCATCCTCTGCTGTTTTGAACTTCTCAGAATCCGTTTGCACCCAATGAATGGCATACACGAGCTGCACAGGAGAAGCCAACGTTTACGACATCATCATGCTATCTACGCTGTCTCCCTTCCTAAGTGAAAACAACCAACTTGAAGGTGTATCACTATCAATGAAGCAGTACAACAAAATGCCTGCCTCTATGTTGTGAGCAGTGAAGACTAGCACTCACAAGTGAAACATGTGGTTAAAAGACTAAATCGATTTCTATTTGGTCAGAAGAATTGAGCATGGTTTATGACTTGTGATAGTCCAATTGTACATGACTTTGCTGAAAACACAAGAAAACAACCCTTTAATCCAAAGCTCATAGGAGGTCCCATGAGCTTTGGAAATACTTTGGAATAGCAAACAATCTCCACGTTGTGATTTGAACATCCAGTAGAATGCACTATTACACAAATTCTTGTTCATTACCTTTGAAACGTGATCAAATATGACAACGTCTTTGTAAAGACTCAGGTGAATATCGGGGAGACCTCTGTCGTCCTCCGGAGCATGACTGAAGGGCAACTTCTTCCTTTCTACATATCGCATTGTGTCATATGAAAAGTACCCAACCCAACCACCTGCCAACATTAAAAGCAGTTGGAATGTGAAACAGGTCAGCATCTGTTCCTAATCTTTAGAGATGAGTACAGTCAGAGGAGTGAGGTATTCTTCAACCGTTGGTTCGATGGTGAGTTGAAAAAATGTGATGGAAGGTTGCAAGCACAATGTGTGATAGGCATTCAACCTCATTCTACAAACTTATGTTATGTTCTATAATCTAAATCAAAACTATATAAACTGGCTCTGCACACTGATGGGCTCCGATTGTTAAAGGATTGAAGTGAAACAGACCGAAGGAGTCCTTCAATTCTCTATCTCAATATATTGATAAGCTTTGTCAGGTTTGATCCTCGAACAAAACTGGAGACTGAAAGAGAGGTGACGCCCTTGGGATGACAAATGTTGCTAGAAGATATATGAAGCCACAATGCATCCAATTTTGAGGCTCTACAAAATTGCAATCTGCTCTTAAGTATCTGCTCATAACCGCATAGACTTCTATGACAACTATAAAAAGGAGGGAATTCACAAGCCCTTTGAACTAAGTACATATTCAAGGTTGTAGCATTCAAGATAAGGTATTACACACCACAAAACACTTCTGGAAGTCCATCTAGCATAACAGGTTTCCATTGATCTGTGATTTCCGATGGAGCATTCATTGGATCATCCACTATCTTCTCCTCCCTAAATCCATCTTCGTGATTTAGAATGGTAAGAATATTCTCCTTGGCAATAATCTCCATGGCTGGTTGGGCCCCGAGCATACTGAATCGGCCCTGCCACCATCAAAGATGATAAGAACTCACAATTGTCTATTCTCTGGGATTCTACCACTCCTCAAAATAACCATTGATTAGAAATGAGAATTACGAAAGTCCATGAGAGATTGCTGAAGCTGGTTGAAATCTCCATACCACACTACTCCCATAAGTCGCATGCTCTACAGACTCGAAAAGGAAGCTGGGAGCATCTCGCTCATCTTCATTTACAAGAATTCGGTACGCCATGACTGGTGTCAGCTGATCAGAGAAGATTCTTCGGTAAACAGGAACTAGATTACCCTTCTTTGCTGCGTCCAGAAATTCAGCTCGATCTACAGCACCTCAAATACAATAAAACAACACAAAATGTAAGCTGAATGTCCAAAGCTAATTTTTCTTCACAGCCAGATTCAAGATTCAGCGTAGCAGAGGGAAGCAAAAATTGTCAATACCAGAGTCTGAGGAAGCAGAATTAACTGGATCTCCATCATCCTTCAAAAGCTCCAAAATTTTGTTCGTCAGTGGTAGAGAATCAGCTGTATCTTTCCCACTCGCCTCCAGTTGCACTTTCACCTCCGCATAAATTCCCTGCGGTCGCCGTCGTTGTGTACTCCGAACCCCCACATCTCCCACAGCCACCCCACCACCTGGCAGAAGACTTGCATTCCTGCCAAATGCACTCACATCCTTGGCAGAAAAAGAAACTCGCCCATGACTCCTGCCCCGACGGATTCCCGAGGAACTGCTGCCAGCATTGCTGCTGCATTTCGTGCACTCCAAACTGGGACAACGAACTCTCAATGCAGTGGCCCCAAGGGCCCCTCTAATTGCCATAGCCGACGTGCCTCCCTTCTCTCCCTTTCCCTGCCCTTCTTTGGAGTCCAACTTAGGCTCCGAGGCTGAGATGCAAATGTCAGCTTCTTCGTTTCGGACTTCCTATTTTCTAGTGAAGCCTGGGACCTGGTACTGCTGTTCCGAACGTCCGATGTTCGTAGCACGAGCATAAAGTACATACAACAGTCAAGAAGTGATGCGCAGAACGCTCGTAGAGGATGGTTCCAAGTCAAAGAATCTTCGATCATTTGTTTGCGTCAACGGCAGGAGCCCCAATCCTTTGACTTGGGACTGGCGGCTAACAGACATTTCATTGTTTAGCCTCCGGGTAGATGTGATTCCTAAACACTCCAGACTCCAGAGTTTCATGCGAGAGCAGCGAGTCTCGACCGTGGTTTTACATGGCAGCTTCCCCCCTTGTTCTATTCCTCGTTTGAAGGCCGAAGCCGTTCTCGGAAAGCAACGGTTCCGGACATTTTTCCGTTGTTGGAAAAAAAGAGTTGAAAATTTTGAGGATAAGAGCCATACGTTTGCTTTGGACCCTGCTGCTACATGATGGTGGTAAGAGGCCTGGCCATTTGAATGGACTGTGCTTCTGACGCCAGATTTGTTTATTTTAATCCGGTTATGAAGGATCTCAGATATATTATTCCATATGCCTCTCCATATCGTTTGTACCCATAGAAAAGGTCTACTTTCAACAGCAAAGATGGGCCTGGACCCTAAATATTCGCAAAGAAGGGGATGGACCCACAAATCATGGCATGTACATAGTTTGATCACGTGTGGACTTCATATTTTTTCTCGTATTTCCACATTTACAACGTGATTGAAATTGACAGAAATGCATGACACGTGATGTAGATGCCTAGACACGCAACTTCCTTGATGATGGAAGTCCTTTGTACGCTGCCTGAACTACCCTTACGGCGCTTGCGTTCACCGAAAATTAAAATATCTAAATATGCGGACTTCATGCATGTTAGCCAGTAGGACTTTTGTGGGACTCCACTATAGTCAGCTTTGAAAAGTTGGAAATGATAGAAGACATGGGCTGAGATTATTACATCCATTGACTTACTGGGCTTACACTCCCTAGGCAAATACAAGTTAGTGGTATTTTTAGTCAGAAGTGATATTATAATGGTTTCATCCATGGAAAACTATTATAATATTTTTCAAAATAAATGGCAGTTCTTCTCTTTTTCATAAATGGGAGATAAATCCATAAAAAAATTGACAGGTTACGTTCTCCTACATTTTATAAATAATGAAAAAAATATTTTCTCCTTTTTAATTATTTTTAATCAAAATAAATTTTTTGAGAGAAAACTAGTTACTGAATCAAGCCCGATCTGAATAGTTCTCTCAGTCTCATAAAAGCAAATGATAACTGAAACAAACTGAAATTGGAACTGAATGTAATCTTTGGCTTTGGATGATATTCAAAGATCAAGATTTCATATCCTAGTATCCAAATTTTAACGATGGCATAAAAATATACAATATATATATATATTTATATTTATATATATATATATATATATATAAACCATTAAAGCTTACTGATTTTTCTTCAAAAATTGTGTTTTAAGATCGGAGCATGATGGTCTTTGAATTTAACATATAAATGTAGAAGATAAATCAAAAAATCGAATATATTTTATTTACTCATGTTGATAAACGTCATATGTTCATTGTTTTGGTTGGTTCGGTTTCTTACTTAGATATTGTAAAATATAAGACAAGTTTTATCTTGCAACAAACAAAGATAACCAGAGAAAAATAAAAGTCACTTTCTCAAAATTTCAAGATATATCACATTATCACCTTCTAACTAAAAAGTCTACCGCATAAAATTACATCCTTGAATTTCACGCTTATTATGAATCATCTTGTCATCAAATACAGAAGAAACTATTTTCTCTGAATAGTGAATATATTACAAATATATACCTGTATAGGTTCTTGCATACGCTCGTTTATCTAATCAGAAAAACCACTAATTAATTTATTACATTCAGTTAAAAACTAGTCAATTTAAAGTCGCATGATATCAAAATAAAACATAAAAAATTTTTAAACATGATAAAGTATTTCAACTTAGTTTTTTATCAGAATATTTTAATATAATTCTATTTAAGAAATAAAACTATGCATATGAGCATTGATCTAGTTTAGTTTAATTTTAGACTCAACATCTAAGAATATTTCAACCTGGAATAAAATCTTAAAAGACTTAAGTTACTTATGGACTGAAGGTGGTAAAACTTTCAATTCAATCTCATATTTCAAGTTGTAATTTAATACAGTTTAAACCCTAAGCGTTTTTGTATTGAATTTGTTGAGGTCAATTTCTGCTAAGTTTATAGGATTTTTTAAGATAAAAATGTGCATATTGCTTTCATGTTATTCATAAGTGTATTCTGATTTTACTCCTATAAGTTTTTTGGTCATAATTATATATTTGATGATATTTGTCATACGTGTGTGAGAAAAGATCCTATTTTTTCACATATCATAAAACCCTTAACAATCTATAATATAAATCTAGATTTTACTTTTTATAGTTACGTCCATTATCGGTCTCAAAACGTTTCTAGAATTAAATTTTAAACATTTAACATTGAACAAAAATCAATGCTAGAAAAACTTAAATTAAAACTTCAAAAAACAAACCAAAAAATTTCATATACATAATTTTAATCATATGTAGTTTTTCCTTTTGAATACAGTTTAATTTATTCAAAAAAATGATATAGTTTTTAATTCTAATTTAATATTTGAAATTATTTTAATATAGAAAAAATATTGGTTTTGTATATTTTTTTCTGCTATTAAAATATTATTTATTTAATTTTTTTGGTATGCGATTAAATATTAAAAATGTATGTTAATTCGTAACAAAAATTTACATTATAAATAAAGAAATAGAGAAATATGTCTTATTGATTTCTATTGATAATAGATATATGATTTAAAAGAATCAAAATTCAATTGAACACTAGCATATAACACTATAAAAAAGAGATTTATGGTTCATTTCAACACAATTTCATTCATGAAAACATACTATAGTTTTACCTGAATAATAATTTGTGTCATAGAGTTGTAGATCAACTTTCTTTTATATCATATAGTAATTTGTGCAACTGAATATAATTACACTAAGTAATGTGTATCAAAGTTTAAAATAACTCATAATTAGATCTATGTGATTCATACCTAGGAATATGTAGCATTTAATCACAATATTTATTTTCTCAAAGAGATTTATAAATTGAATTCCAATGTTGAACTTTGATATAAATTGAAATCGATTGAAATTCAACCATAAGATCAAAACATGATAAAATACATATATATAAAAATTAAACTTAATTGAATAGTTCTGCTATTAAATTATGTTATTATATGGAAAACTTGCCTAGTAGCAAAAAAGAAATTTAAAATTTTGCAAAGATGTATATTTAGTTGATGCACTAGCTAAATGAAGTTAATCTTCAATCCTGCTAAATTTAATATTTTATATATTAAAAACTGCATCTAAATTAAATTCACATGTGATATCAATATGCTTTCTCTTTTTTATTTATCGCTTGATTTTTTACAACATATATTGCACTTTGGTCATCACAATCATCATCGACAACATGATGTTGTAGTTCATCTTAACGATACTTTTTTTCAGCCTTATTGTATTATTTATTTTTATTTTATATTGCTAGATATTTGATAATAATAATTGATTGAGTTATTTAATTATTCAAAATAATCTTGAAATAATATATCTAATATCAAGTTATAAATACTTCTAATGCATAATCAAGATTTGTTGTAATCTAACAAATGTTTGATATTGTTCAATGAAGCAGCAAAAAGAATCATAATTTTTAGAATCCAAACTGTTTCTATTCTCCTGGGTATGAAAGTATAAATTATATAGCCTATAATTTCCAAACGATAATAATCAATCATTCATTTGTATTTATATTCAAACAATGTTAAAAAATTGATTGCATTATAAGGGAAGATAAATACTAAATACATTGCGATTGTCATAGCTATTGATATGATGTACTAGATTGATTCAACACAATCTGCATCTTCTCATACATTATTCAATTGATCATATCAAAAGTATCAATTGGTAGTGAAGTATAAACCGTGTGGAAATGATAAGTAATTTCCTCCTCTTTGCGCTAAGCCAAATTCACTTAAAATATAATTTCCGTTTATTATATGTATGTATTTCACCTTGTGTCATGTGCCAGATTTGAGTTTCAATTTGGGTTTTCTAACTTTTGAAATTTGTAAATTATGTGATTAAGTTTTTAACACATCTAAAATTAGATATGAGAAAATGAACCGCACAAAATTTAATAATCATCAATAAATAATACATTGTAGAACCTTTCAAAAAATGAATATTTTGGAATATTTTTTCCATGTCATTATTTACATACTCAAATAACTCTTTTGGATTGGTAAGTTGCAATACAAAGACTTTACTATGATGTTTGTTCTTAATACAATATTGCAAAGCTCTAAGTCAAATTTTACTATACTAGATAAAAAATATTTATCACATAAGAGTAACAAAGATCTATTACTCAGATGTCATAGCTTTGAATGACATACATGAAACAACTTAACTTAAGATTTAGTAAAATTGACTTTATCATAGATTATAATGACATCTAACACATATAGATTGTTCTGCTTATGATTTTCAAACATAATCTTATCACATACTTTCACATCAAGCATGATTTATTAAGGATTCCACTCAAAACTTCACTCAAGATTTTTTTGAGTCTAACATTTCAAATGAGATGAAATTCTTTCTCAAATCTGATATATATATGATTCTGACTTGAAGCAATGTGTGTTGAAATTTTTTGAACATTTGAATTCAAAGAAATTCAATACTAAAAATTTGATCACTTTTAATAAAACTTAAATTATTCAATATTAAAAAATACAAAAAATCTCTAATTTAATACATATTTTAAGTGTTGAGCTTAGCTCCGATTAAGGAGTAACCTCTTTAGTTTCTAGCTTTTTATAGCTAGGTGTGTCGCTGGCTTTGGGTCGAAATGTAACCCCAAGACTTCTACTCGATTTAGTGTTGTATTTACTTGTCAGTAAACTCTCTCGCGTGTTTCAGCTGTGGACGTAGCCCTTGAGGGTGAACCACGTTATACGAATGTGTGTTGTGTTCATATTTGGCTTGAACATTTTCTTGTTTTGCGTTTAAAACTTAGATCAAGCACTATCTAAAATTCATATGTCATGAACATCCTTTGATGAATTGCATATGGCATATCTCTGACATCATAGTCCATTGTCTAGCAAGTCATTATCCTTGGGGCTAAAATCTTGAGCCACATTGGCTACCAGGCTATCAACAGGCTATTGAATTTCACATGGTTGAACTTTTTGATAAAATCAATCTTGCCACATTTCCAA